TAATAAATATCAAGCTGTCATAGATTTTGAAAATAAAAAGCTTAAAATTAATAACATATGTGTAAGTTTTGAATTAAATAATAACCTTAACAAAGATGAATCTATAAAAAGACAATTGTGTATAACCAATCAAATCGAGAATGATTTAATGTACAATGAAAATATTAATGAATTTAATGATGCACATAAAGAAAATATGGCATATTATGATTATGAAGAGTTTAATTATGAAGAAATAGAATTGAAATGTCCTAAAAATAAGGAACATTTAATAAGAATGTTAGTAAAAGAGTATATAGAACTTTTTAATAATGATTCTCGAGTTGCCAAAGATTATACACATAGTTTTGAAGTAAAAAACATTGAAGGTTTCAAAAATAAAACATACCCTGTACCATATCATCTTAAAAATGATATTAAACTTGAACTTAAAAATTTATTACAACAAAATATAATACAATATTCAGATACACCATACATTAATTCATTAGTAATTGTTAAAAAGAAAAATGGTCAGATTAGAATTTGTCTAGATAGTCGTACTATAAATAAATATTCGATTAAACAATATGAACAACCTATAAATTCAAACAACTTATTAGGAAGAATAAGCAATGCAAAAATATTTTCTAAACTAGATCTTAAACATAGTTTTTGGCTAATTCCACTTCATGTAGATTGTCAAAAATACACAGGATTCTCTGTAGATGGTCAAATCTTTTCTTTTAAAGTAGTCCCATTCGGATTACAAAGTGCTTCTGCTGCGTTAGTTCGTTGTTTAAACAAAATCTTGGGACAATATCAAAACTTTGCGATAAACTATATTGACGATATTATTATCTTCAGTGAAAACGAGGAACTGCACCTGGAACATATTAGAATAATTTTAAAAGCGTTAGATAATGCAGGATTAAAGTTAAACATAGATAAGTCAGAATTTTATCAATCAGAAACAATTTTTCTTGGTTTTAAGATAGATAAACATGGTATAACTATGGATCCTAAGAGATTAGATGTTATTGAATCTTATAAAACACCTAATAATTTAAAGAGTTTGAGAAGTTTCTTAGGAATGATTAACTATTTTAAAAGATTGTTGCCAAATCTGACAGAATTAGAGTTACCATTATTAAATTTGTTAAAGAAAGGTGTAAAATGGTGTTGGAATAGTGAACATGAACTTGCTTTTAAAAAGGTAAAACATGCTTTTTTACAAAATATTAAAACATTTCATGCTGATTTTAATTTAACATTTATACTGAGATGTGATGCTAGTATGTACAGATTAGCTGGTACATTATTACAAGTACAAGAAGGGATAGAAGTACCTATTTCTTTTGTATCGAGGAAAACAAAACCACATGAACAAAAATATGGTAGTAGTGAGTTAGAGATATCCGCAATAATATATTCGATTGAGAAATTAAAATTTTATTTAGTAGGTAGAAAATTCATTTTAGAAACGGATAATAGTGGTCTAATATCTTTATTAAATAATAAATTCAATAATAGCAGAATATTTCGTTGGAGTATTTTGTTACAAGAGTATGATTTTGAAATTAGACATGTTAAGGGAATTTTAAATGTTGTGTCCGATGCAATCTCTCGAATGGATGGGTACAATAAGACACTAAAACAGGTTAAAACTGGTCTGAACATATTATATAATGATAATTCAGTATTTTCTCTTAATAGCATAATACAAGATCAAAATTTACTTGATATTAAAACAAAACAAAAATCATTATATAATGGACAAACATATTTTAGAAAGTCACAAGAAATTGAGTTATACGTAATCACAAAAACACTTGCTTTAGAAATTTTACATCAATTACATATCATGTATCATCATCCAGGAAGTAGAAAACTTTGGCTATTATTTAGGGAAACATTCATTACTTCAAATGATTATAAACTTGCGAAAAACATAACGACTACTTGTTCATTATGTCAAGTTTCAAAAGATAAAAACCGACATAACGAAAATATTGCAAAAACAATATTACCAGTTGCTCCTTTACACATTATCTCTATAGATTTTATTTCAAATTTAGTTAAAACAGATAATGGTAACAAACACATTTTTGTCATACTAGATATTTTTTCAAAATATGTACAATTATACGCTTGCAAACACACAAACACAAACACAGTCAAAACATGCATAAATAAATTTATAAATGAAGTAGGCTTACCATCATATTGTATCCTGGACAATGCATCGTACTTTTCAAATCAACGTATCATATCATTTTTCAATAGTCAAAACATCATTCCAAATTTCATTAGTTTTAGAAATCCTAGAGCAAATCCAACAGAAAGGTACATAAAGGAAATAATTCGGTATCTTCGTATATTAGTTGAAAACGAACATTTCTTGTGGGACACAAAATTAATGGAAATATCAGAATTCTTGAACCATACTCCAAATACTGTAACGGAAATTAGTCCACATCTACTAATTAATTCTTCACCAATTAACAGACCATGGATTTGTGAAAATATTCTCGATTATCAAAATCTTATTTTCAAAGTAGGACAGAAACTTCAACGTAATGCACACAGATACCTAAAAAGGAAAAATAAAAGTATTAAAAATAAAGTTAAATTTAATAAAGGGGACATGGTTATTGTAAAGTCTCTGCGTGTTCCTAATCCACGGAAAAGAATATCTAAAAAATTACTATTTCCATTAGAAGGACCTTACATAATTGAAAATGAACACGCAGTCAACTCATACATTTTAAAAGATCCTTTAACTAACCGAATTAGGGGAATTTTTAACATTACACAGATTTATTTGTTTAAAGATCCAAACATATTACATGATAACTAGCAATAAGTAAAGAGAACAAGATTTTATTTGTAAATTATTTTAGCAAAATAATTTAAAAATAAAATGGGGCAATTGTAATGATTTCATCATCACTCTGTATAAATGTTTTGTATAATTTAGATGGTTATTTATAAATATTGTTCAGGTCAACTATTAGAAACATTTTACGCTCCATGGTAGTTAAATCTACATCATTCAATGTCAATTTGATAATTTATAAATGTTTATTAAGAAATCGTCGATCGTAGTTTGCAAAATCACACTGTGTATTTAAAGCATGAACCACTTTGTATATAAAATAGTCACAAAACAAAGAGACATATGAAATGTCATAAAATTACGTTAGCAACAAATCAGATTCTGCATTCTGAAATCTTTTTGACAACCAATCAAAATTACAGGTATACATTGAAATTTGAATTATGAGAAACACTTAAATTAGAATTTACACAACCATTAATAATTTTGTACATACTATCGCTGTAAAATATTTATTTATACGTAAAAATAACATTCACGTCAATAAAATAATAATATCTAAGAAAAATACGTTTGACAGAAAAATATCATAACCGTGATTGGTTAGTTATAAAAAAAAAATGAGAGATTAAAAAAAAACGGTTGCTAGGAGGTTGTTGACCGGCGGATTGGACCGGATGACAAAAAAAAAAAAGGTTATGGTAGAAAATTTTGCGAATTAATTAAATTAAAGCATATTGGAGCAATTAAAAGGTGCTTAAAAAAGTTGAATCTAATGTACTGGAAGCACTAGTACAAATAACACAGTCAGAAGCTATAATTTGGTGAGATAAATCTATTAACTATTTACCTTGTCAGGGTCCCGTATGTGTTATCGCATACCGTTATAATAGTCACATCTTGCCACTGTGCACATAAAGCCGACTTTCGTGTGCATGAAAATACATTGCTGCATCCTATAAGAAAAATAATATTTGATCTTTAGACGTTATATTCTATTCACGTGAATTTATGGTAGGAATTTAGAAGTTAATTCAGAAGGCGTTTTTCAGGCTGAACGCATCTAGCGTTCAGTTGAAATTAGTAAATCTCCAAAATAAAACAGAGACTGTCTATAATTTGGTATCATCATTCGAATTAGGGTGATATAAGTTCATTGAATATATTTTAAAATAATATACCCGCATATTAGTAAATAAATATACTGTATGTTAAAATTAATACTTACCAATTACATAAAATTATTCGAATAATTTTCACAAGTGCACTCACGGTGTTAAAAGGTCTCCATTTCGTTATAGTTATTTAACACGTGATATACATTGATACCAACATTCGAACGGAATTAGAATCTACCGTGAGTGAAACTGATTTGGTAATAGATTTAAGGTATTAGTTAATCTTGTTTTTTTTTCTTGCATCTTATGATAATATTATATGTCCATTTACATCCAAATCATTATTATAGTTGTTGTGTTCTGATTCGTGTTTCATTATATAAAAAGATTTACAACTAAATAACAATTTAAAAAAAATTTGGTTAAGACATCTATTGGTGGGTAGTAAAAGTTCATCACAGAAGAATAAGATAGATTTGCAGAATATAGCAGAACACCTGTCTGAGATTAGAATCTCTACTCTTCGACTAGCTACAGACCAGGCATAATAATAATAAAAAAAAAAAATATTGAATAATAGTCCAGTCAAAGAAATAAAAAAAAAAAATAAAAAAAAAAATAAATTCATATAAAACTCAGGACAAACTAACAATTGAAACCAAATAAATTAATTCCCATATATTATTAATATATCATTACAATATATATATATATATATATATATATATATATATATATATATATATATATATATATATATATATATATATATATATATATATATATATATATATATATATATATATATATATATATATATGCATGAAAATATTCCAGAAGAGTGGCTAGACGTTTTAGAAGATGATGAGGACGATGTAGTTTTAAATCGAAATTTAGCAGTTAATGAAATTCAATAATAAAAAATGAAGAAATGAAAGATTATAGGCGAGTGATGATTTCTAATTGAAAAAAGCTTTTATTTATAAAAGTAATATGTACATTATACTATTCAGTAATCATTAATTAGTTTAATTATTTCATTAGAGAGTACGCAATACTTGGAATCACATGTTATTTATTACTATAATTTTGAAAATACATACATTTTTCACAGTTGCAACAACGTCCCCAATTTCTACATTAATGTCTTTATTGATGTCATCAATGTTGTGTTGTACTTCCTTAAAAAAAAATAAATATGAACAATAGAATACTAGATATTTAATCACTCATTACTATAAAAGGTTTGCGAAGCTCATTAGAACACTGTGATGAACCAGCAACTGGATGTTCTATTGTATACATAACAATAAAATTGTGGCCTTTCTCCGACGTACTGCTTTTAACAGCAACACCATCTTTTAATTCAATCTTAAAGAAAACAGGAGTGAAATACATATTTAAAAAAATTATAATGCCATCACATATAAATATTATTCTGATCAGCTTTTACGACTTCTTAATTATTAAAAAAATTTATAGTAAAATAGGTTATTATTCTAACTTACAAGTAAACTATTTTGATCCTCCATAACTATATCGACTTCTGCAATTGTTTGACTTCCATCTTCAATCTAAAACCAGAAGAATAACAATACAATAATATAATAAACAATTACTAAATACTTACATCATTGGCGGTATAATCACTACCAAAAGTGTTTTCTAACCCAACAACAGTTTTCCAATTGATTATTTTTACAATCAATTGTATGACTGGGTCATAATCTGGAGGAAGGGGCCCACCACCTCCAGTTCCTTTTATATGGGCTCGTTCTTGAGCTACAATTTTCCTCGTTTTCGTTTTTAAATTGTCGAACTTCGATTTCAATTGATCGGTATTTCTATATTCAAGTGAATGGGCATTATACACTACAGCTACTTTCTCCCAAGCTTTATCCTTAAATAAGTAATTATAATTAACACATGTCAATACAAAAGAATTGTTGCATACCTTTTCTATGTTGGTAAATTTATTAGTTTCCTTGTTTTCTATTATTTTCCGCTGCGAATAGACAGCATTTAACAGACGAATTTCACCCTCTTTGGAAAAACTAGAGCTTTCTTTCTTTTTAATTTTAAGCATTTTAGTTGAACTCATTTTTAACAATTTTTAAATTATTTAATACACGAGGTAGAAAAGAGAGGTTAAAATAATTTTATATATTTCAACTGTCAAAAACACAATGACTTGACACAGTGACTAACTTCACTTAATCATTCCAGAGTTGCCAACATAACAAATATTTCTAAAATCGACCTTTATTCAAAGAGAGATTTAACTTGTTTTATGGAACTGCCCGAGCTTTAAAGTTAATTGAAGGTAAATTTTATCATAAAGGTGGCTTTACTAAAAGGATCGTTTTGTCCGTATTTATGGGACTGGCTGTTAGCCATCTACAAAAAATTTCACTGGTCATCCAACCTTTTTCTTGTGCTACCAGCGAGAGCACCGTTCATAAGTTCATCGTTCATTCTTTGACGAGGGTAAATAAGAACAGGAGGGACGTAAGTGCCTATGGCATTTATTGCACACACTACAGTTACGTGTTGCCCACGCTCGGCACTACTAAGTGCACCAACTTGCTTGCTACCTTTTGCAGCGTAAATCTTTTGGCGTAGTCAAACTTGACTCGTCCATATTATAAATATTTTCGGGGAGAAACTTGTACTGCCCCAGAGTATTAGACAGTGCGTTAAAATAGGCTTCGATATTAGGCTTGTTAAATGCCTGGGCTCTAGCTAATCATGTACTTCCTGGGTTTCTCAAAGATATTCGCGGATTGCGCTTTAGGAATCTCCTAATCCATTTCCAACCTGCCATTTTTGTTTCGCGGTTAAAACCATGTTTTATTTTATTTTTTTCGGCTACTTCAAATACCATCCGCCGCAAATCTTTGGAAGTTAGTCCAAAAAAACGTGTTTCCATGTCAATTATGTGAGTAACAATCTCCAGTTCAACAGCTTTAGAGAAAGTTGCTCTTCGTCCTCCCAAATCACCCTAAGAACTGTCCTGTTTAGCCAAACGCCTTCTTAAAGTTGTTTTGGGAACATTAAAGGTCTTTGCAGCCAACTTATAGTCCATATTGTCGTTTTGAACGTTGATAATAACCTGTCGCATGTCATGCTCGTTCTACTGTTGTCTCTTCTTGGACGCCGTATCTACAAAAGAACAAGAAAAATAACTAAACATGTTTAATTAACGCATTGCCAATGATGGACCCCTGGTCCATCATAAGACACAGTTGAGGGGTCCATCGTAGGCAATATTGCATAAGTCATTTAAAAATGCCAAGCAGTTTTGATCTTTGCCATAACCTCAATTTGTGCCCCAAAATTAACATAAAACAGTTCCTTCAAACTGCAGTAAAAAAAAACTGATTCTAACTAAACGTAAAAAAAGAATTACCTAACATCATGCCAAGCCGCTGTGTTATATCAGTACTTACCAGTTTTGTCTTTATTTTTTATTTTCACACAAACGGCATATATTCGCATAGTCGCTTGTAAACAACTGATTTTATACTTCAGTCATCCTAGATGGCGGTAGTCTGTTATGCGCGGTAAATTTGAAAATTTCCCCGATATCTAAACCCCAAAATTTACTTTACAAATTAGAAATAATTTTCAACTCATGCAGCCAGCACCTGAACGTATTTCAGAAAACAAAAATGTTCGTGCATGATGATTTAAAAAGTTGCGAGAACGTATTCATGGAAGTTTTCAGGAAAAATTCTAGTTTGCAACAACCATACAAGGAACTTTCAGTCCTACGACGTTCAGAAAAAACCTTTTTTATTAAAAAATATGGCAGAGAACAGGCCATCTCTATAGACAGAGTTAAACCTACTTACTTAGACTCACCTATTATTATTTGATACCGATGGATAAACGAATTTCGGACACTGTGTACAAGTTGTTATTAGTTATACCCAAACAGTTTTCCAACCTACTTAGAAACAACAAAATACAAGAAATCGTGAACCGAACACGGACACGACGTATCCCAACGTACCAATTGATTTTATATCCAAACATATACATAATGTCAATCCATTGAAGGCAGTTAAATCTACATAATGTCAGCTCGTAAAGTATGATGTAAGATCGTCCGTCGGGTGTAATTGAACTTGTCAAACGAGAAGCAAATTATAGCTATTACGGGTAAACCGAAACACAATAGGTCTTATCGTGATGCACAAATTTATTGCGTTACAGACAAGGGACGTAAACGTGCTATCAATATCATAAGAAATTACACAAAAGATGTAGAATGAATAATGGAAGAATGACACAAAGTGCGGCAATGTGTGTATGTTTACCAACAAAGTGAATCATTATTTTATTACAGATTTGGTTTTAGTTGTAAAATGATTGTAAAATTTTCAGTAATTAACAGTGGTTATTGAACATTAGGAAATAAGTGTTAAAGAAAAATATTAGTATTATGTAGTCAGTTTTAAATTCTAGCTTAGAAAAATATGAATTTTGAATAAAAGTTGTGGCTTTTGATTATTAAAAAATGCCATGCCATTACTCATAAAAAGCTTATATAACTATTTGACTTTAACTCAGTGGTCCCATTTTACCAAAAAATTGCATTATTTCAATTCTATATTTAATATTTTTTTATTATTATTAAACCCATTTTTGTAAAAAGAACAGTACGTACTATACGATTGAATGAACACGACTATTTATTTAAAGAAATAATTTTTATTTGGTTACAATGATTAAGCAGTTTTTCAATAAGATTCGGCTCCATCTCACATTTTGAAGGTCATGATGAAATATTTCAAGGGTAAAACGATTTCATGACTTGAATGGACAGGAAACTCACTGGATCTAAATCATATAGAAAAATATGTGGACTATTGTAAAAACTAGACTTTATCCAATAGGTCGTGCAATAGTTATCATCTTATTAGAAAATGCTTTCATTTATTCAAATGGCGTCTTATATTATCACAAATTTGACATTTGTGCAGTTGACGTTAGCAGAATACACATAGATAAACCATCAATTAATTAACTAAAGATTAAATCGTCCCCTTAGTGCAACAACTAGATAACTTGAAATTTAACTATTCAAAACTATTTGAGAAAATCCACTTTAAAGATTCAAAACGCAAAAAAATACACCTGTTAAGTAATCAAAAATATTTAATATCTATACAGACATGTTACATATCACATTCTGATTTGTTAATTTTGGAAACAATTATTTTTTATATCTTTGCAGAATTTAATCAAAAACTTGAGATATCTAGTTGTTGCTGAAAAAAGAGTAAAGTTATCTATTTATAACCACTGACAATTAAACGCAAATCACCTACTAAATACAACTTTATTTGGAATAAAAAATTAACAAGATTAGTTTAAATAAAACCCAAAAGATTCCACCCTTGATACAACTTAAGTGTCAATATCAATTATGTCGGTTTGGGAATCTTCCAAGTTTTGAGGCCTTTACGTTAGTCTCCTTGGAATGGAAGACTTTCAAAAATGCTTTATACTCGCTAGGGAGGGCCGGAAGATTCATTTTGGTCGTCATATTTTTTTTAAGTGGTAGTTGACTTTGATACAACGGCTCTTGGGTATTATTTGAAGACAACATACGTGTTTTACGTTTACAATTTAGTCGTCTAAACTGCCCATCAAAATCTTCTATAAAATTAATAATGAATGGAGTCGATTTTAAAAAGTTCAACCAGCATGTTTTCTGCCAACAAACCAAGTTATAGCTTTCATCTTCTTTTCTAAATATTAATTTTGGTTCTGCATAAGTTTTCCAGTCAAGAATTTGATTATGTCTAACATCGTGAACCAAATAGGGTTTATCACCTCTTCTTCTTGCAGAGCGTGCTACAGTTTTCCAATATTTAGGCCAGTTTGCTTTCCAACTCTTTAGTTCTGTAGATTTAGCAGAATGCATTGAATCGCATTCCATCTCACTATGACCAACGACAAGAAATTTTAGTTCGATGGTTTGCAATTGTGGAATTTCCTGAATCGCAGTTAAACACATAGCTGCCACATATTTGTTGAGCTTTTGTCCTCCACATCTATCACTGTAGCAAATAATGTGTTTAATATTTTCAGGTAATGATTTGAAATAACTATAAAGGCAACTAGCAATTTCACAACTCCCACGTTTACCTCCAACTTTACTCCACATGTAGCAGTCCTCCTGTTTAGAAACAACATCGTAAATAGTAAAGTTAAACAATTTCAAACGCTGTTTATAAAATAATGCATTGTTCGACGGTTCAATAGGAACCATGAGAACTTGTTGGAGATCAAAATAGGAACATAAAATATTTAGATGGAGGTTTTAGCTAATTTCTTGTCGAACCTTTTTTCCTCCCGGGTCCTATCCTTGGTAGCAAGGTGTGCTTGATAATTAGCTTCTATAATTTCTGTTTTAATGCTACTGTAACTTATACATGTACGCACTGGTCCTTTCTCGGACGGTAAAAACCCAAGTTATATTTTTCACAAAATATCTTCCTGTACATTGACGAACTTACGAAAGGTATATTTTTTCTGTACAATCCTCTTTATACATTATATACATGATAGTAATATTAGGATTGGACCCTAAATACTTCTTTTGGATGTATTTAAATAGATTTTGACACACCTGCATCATTTTCTAATTGGCCACGTAAAATTTCTAAAATATTCTTTCCCCTTGACGTCATTTTTTGCATTAATACTGTTTAAAAAACACCGTAAAACAATTTAGGAGTACAGAAACAAACCTGTTGTTTAAGCACACAACTAGATATTGTAACATGATCTTGTTATTGTATCTATTTTTATAGTGTTTTAAGCTCTTATGATTTTGGGGAGTGGGTCAGGTTATTAAACAACTCGTATTACTTTGAAAAAGAGTGTTGAGCGCCACTATATTTATAACTTACTAAACTTGACTATCGATTAATGATAAAAATATAGAAAATCACTAACCATTAAGATATTATAATTAAATAAGGTTTCGGATAAGGTAGCGACAAATTCTTATTCACAGAGACTCGCCTATTCAAATTTAAATGATTTATTATCAAAAGACTTATCCGTCAACAAGAGGTAGTATTT